GGCAACGGAGCTGGGGCAGGGTCTGGAGTACAGGTCTGCTGGGGAGCGGCTGGGGGAACTGGGGGGGTTTAGTCTGGAGCAGAGGAGGCTGACGGGAGACCTCCTGGCCTTCTGCAACTCCCTTGTAGGGGGGATAAGATCATCAAGTTCCACCCCTCTGCCACGGGCAGGGCCACCTTCCACTAGCCCAGGTTGCCCAAAGCCCCGTCCAACCTGGCCTTGAACCCTTCCAGGGAGGGGGCAGCCACAGCTTCTCTGGGCAACCTGTGCCAGGGCCTCACCCCCCTCACAAGGGAGAATTTCTTCCTTACATCTAATCTAAATCTCCCCTCTTGTTAGCTCAAAGCCATTACCCTTTATTCTATCCCTAAACCCCCTGATCCAGAGTCCCTCCCCACTTTCCTGCAGCCCCTTTCAGTCCTGGGAGGCCGCTCTAAGGTCTCCCCAGAGCCTTCTCTTCTCCAGCTGAACCCCCCAACTCTCTCAGCCTGTCCTCACAGGGGATGCTCCAGCCCCCTGAGCATCTTCATGGCCTCTTCTGGCCCCACTTCAGCAGGTCCGTGTCCTTCTTTTGTTGATTACCTCAGAGTTGGACACAACACTGCAGGGGGCTTGTCATGAGAGCAGAGTGGAGGGGGAGAATCCCCTCCCAATTTAAGGAATGGAGGACGGTGACAAAGTAGTATTATGGACTTTAGAGGAGGAGGTATTTTAACGTGGTAGAAAATGAGAGAGGAGGGGATGAGTCTCTTGAGCCAAGGACCCAGCATCAGGCCCAGAGGGCGCCAGGGCAGGGTCAGGCTGGCTCTGAGGAAGGATTCCTTTGCAGAAGGAGCTGTTGGGCGTTGGAATGGGCTGCCCAGGGCAGGGGGGTTGTCCCCATCCCTGAAGGGGTTGAAGAGTTGGATTGACCCAGCGCTGAGGGATCTGGTGGAGTTGGGAATTGACAGTGTGAGGTTTATGGTGGGACTGGAGGAGCTTCAAGGGATTTTCCAGCCTAGATGTTTCTGTGATTCTGGGTTTGGACAGCACCCAGTCCCTGTGTGTGTTCTATCCTCCTCCCCACCACTGTCTTGGTTGAGTCAAGCTCTGCAGGATGGGGTATGTCTTGGAGAGGCGGTCGTGCAAAGCGAGCTGTTTTTTTGGGTGTTTTACCCCCACCCTTTCTTGCAGGAAGACCAAGGGATTTATCACAGCAAAGTCCGGGACATGATCAGCGACAACCAGTATCGCCTCCTCGTCAGCATCAACGACCTGCGGCGGAAGAACGAGAAAAGGGCCAACCGGTGGGTGTGTGGCGGTGGGGTTTGCCTCTGGCACCCTGCTCTGGGTGGGCTTTTGGAGGTCCAGCCTTGGTTTTGCATGTTCTTTGTGGCAAAGAAGGGCCAAACCTTGTCCTGTGCACTGGGTCCCATGTAAAAGGCTGACCTGCGCTTTTTTTCCCCATGACACCCACCCCATCCAGTCATGGAATCACAGAACGGTTTGGGTTGGAAGGGATCTCAAAGATCATCCAGTTCCAACCCCCCTGCCACAGGCAGGGACACCTTCTACTAGCCCAGGTTGCCCAAAGCCCCGTCCAACCTGGCCTTGAACCCTCCCAGGGAGGGGGCAGCCACAGCTTCTCTGGGCAACCTGTGCCAGGGCCTCACCCCCCTCACAGGGAAGAATTTCTTCCTTAGATCTAATCTAAATCTCCCCTCTTTCAATTCAAAGCCATTACCCCTCATCCTATCCCTAAACCCCCTGATCCAGAGTCCCTCCCCCTTTTCCTGCAGCCCCTTTCAGCCCTGGGAGGCCGCTCTAAGGTCTCCCTGGCGCCTTCTCTTCTCCAGCTGAACCCCCCAACTCTCAGCCTGTCCTCACAAGGGGTGCTCCAGCCCTCTGAGCATCTTCGTGGCCTCTTCTGGCCCCACTCAAGCAGGTCCGTGTCCTTCTGATGTTGGTGCCCCCAGAGCTGGCCACAGCACTGCAGGGGGTGTCTCACCAGAGCAGAGTAGGGAGGGGAGAATCCCCTCCCTCGACCTGCTGCCCACACTGCTCTGGATGCAGCCCAGGACATGGGTGGCTCTCTGGGCTGTGAGTGCACACTGCCAGCTCACAGTCAGTTTTCAATACACTTACAACCCCAAGTCCTTCTCCTTGGGGCTGCTCTCAACCCACTCATCCCCCAGCCTGTGTTTGTGCTTGGGATTGCCCCAACCCATGGACAGGACCTTGCATTTGGCTTGAAAACCCTTGATTTGGCGAAAACGTTTTGCAGCAAGGTGGGATTAAATGTGCGATATAAATCATCTCCTTTTTTAGGATGTTTGGGATATTTTGGACCAGGCTTGCCTATCTGCTCAGGGACATGTGAGGTTTTCAGTTTTGGTTGAGTTTATTCAGCTCCTGGCTGTTGCTGGCAGTGGACCTGACATAGACCTGTGATGGGCTTTCGGGTTTTTTTTTGCCTCTTGCTCCTAGTAAACTTGTGGAGCACATGAAGGCATGGGAAAAGTGTTGAGAAGGAAGGCAGGAGTGTCTGTGCTACAGAGGCTCTCACATAAACAACCAACCACCAAAAATTAAAAATTTATTATTAACACAGTTAACTAGCTCTCCATAAATTACAGGTTCCAATGTCTGTGAGAGGAGAACAGAACAACTTCCTAGGGTTTAATGACAACCCAAAATGCTCTATCACTCACCTGACAAGTGAGGGCTCTCAACCTCGAGGACCTGCTCGGGGCAGTGTCCCAACCCAAGTCACCTCCAGGAGTTTCCTTGGGCAGCGTCCTGACCCAAGGAGAGAGTCCTCGACCACAGCGTGCTGCTCCAGGGGACGAGCTCCAAGTGGCTGCCCCAGAGGACTCCGTTTATACCCAGGCTGAATCTGACCTGTAGTCAGTAGTGGCTCCCATTGGCCAAAGACCCCAACTACTGTGAAGCCCCGAGAGCAAAGGCAATCAGGAGCCGCTACACTTCAGCGGCCAAAGCGCCCTATTTTCATTGGGTGGGTGCACCTGTCAGAGTCTAATGGGTCCACATCATCACCTCCCTCTGTTTCAGGCTCTTGAGCAATGCCTTTGAGGAGCTGATTGCCTTCCAGCGTGCCCTGAAGGATTTTGTTGCCTCGGTCGATGCCACCTACGCCAAGCAGTATGAGGACTTCTACATTGGGCTGGAGGGCAGCTTTGGCTCCAAGCATGTGTCACCACGGACCCTGACTGCCTGTTTCCTCAGCTGCATTGTCTGTGTGGAGGGCATCGTGACAAAATGTGAGACTGGGGGCAGACTCAGGGGCTTTTTAGGGGTGATGGGTCCAGGTGTTTGCTGCAGGGATGCTGGAGTCCCACCAGGAGCTGTGGTACGTCCCGGCAACCTGGTCAGAAGGAACAGGGGGCTTGGCAGAAGGTCTTGAGTGTTGGGATGGTCTTTGAGCTTAGAAGATCCTGGCCATAGTTGACAGTGTGTTGTGTCCCAAGTGTATTTTAGCATTGGAGACCCAGCTGGGGCTGTCCTGACAGAGGAATGGGACATCCTTACCCCTGACTCCTCTCTCTCCCAACCTCAGGCTCTCTGGTTCGTCCGAAGATCGTCCGGAGTGTCCATTATTGCCCAGCTACCAAGAAGACCATTGAACGCCGATACACAGACATGACCTCCCTGGATGCTTTCCCATCCAGCTCTGTCTACCCTACAAAGGTGAGGTGAAGTTGCCGTGTAGGAAGCATCAGCAGGTTCCTCTGGGGAGAATGCGCCAGCTCAGAGCCCAGGGCTCAAATCCGTGTGCATCCTTTCTCCCTCTGCCAACATAGCCCATGAAGTAGAAAGAAAACATATTGCATGTGTGAAAGTCCCAGAGAGCTGCTGGGAACATGTGAAGAAAGTTACTGTTGGACACCAGGCCACCAGACCTGCTAGTTCAGATGTTGATTATGATCTTGGTTCTGCTGTAACAGGGTTTCTTAGAGGCTTGTCAGCCAGTCTTTTTGCTCTTGGGACTCAGCGTGGGCATGCCTGTACTGTCCTGGAAGGTGTACACACCCTTAGAGGGTTTTCCCCATGTTTGGGAACAGAGGAAGGTTGATCTGAGCTTTGTTGCCATTGTGCTCACAGCCTGCTGCATGGGTGATATGTCTCCACTGCCTGCAGTATGGACAGGGCTTGGGCAGACCTAAAGTACCATCAGTGGTGGGTGTTGGCACCTTGAGACTGGGGGGTGTGTGCGTGCGCACGCGCACTGTGGAGCTGGGGAACCCCGGCCTCTGGCAGAGCTGATAAAGCAGCTCTTTTAATCAGTCTTGTGTATGGTGGGTGATGCAGCCTGTCTTCCCACTGCTCAGCTGACCCACCTCTTCTCCCTGTTCTCCTGAAAAATGGTGCTATTTTTTTTTTATTTGGGTTCCTCCTCTAGGATGAAGAGAATAACCCCCTGGAGACAGAGTTTGGGCTTTCAGTCTACAAGGACCATCAGACCATCACCATTCAGGAGATGCCCGAGAAGGCACCAGCAGGGCAGCTGCCACGCTCAGTGGATGTCGTTCTGGATGATGACCTGGTGGACAAGGTGAAGCCTGGGGACCGCATCCAGGTGGTGGGGACGTACCGCTGCCTGCCAGGAAAGAAGGGGGGTTACACTTCAGGGACTTTCAGGTGAGCCGCCTTTTGTCTTCACTTTGGCCTTCTTACCCTTTTTAGTTGGGTCGTATCTCTGGAAGATGAGGTGTATGGCAGACAGGTGGCCATCTGTGTGCTGGGTCAAACATTGGCTTAAATCTACGGAGAGACCTGGACAGGCTGGAGCGATGGGCTGAGGCCAACTGGAGGAGTTTCAATAAGGCCAAATACCTGGGGCTGCTCTTGGGCCACAACAACCCCCAGCAGGGCTACAGGTTGGGGAGGAGTGGCTGGAGAGCTTCCAGTCAGAGAGGGACCTGGGGGGGATTGGTAGTGAGCCAGCAGTGTGCCCTGGGGGCCAAGAACACCAATGGCATCCTGGCTTGTGTCAGCACTGGCGTGGCCAGCAGGGACAAGGGGAGGGACCTGAGCACTGGGCGTGGCACTGGTGAGGCCACACCTCAATGAGGGCCCCTCACCCCAAAAAGGCCATTGAAGGACTTGAGCGTGTCCAGAGAAGGGCAACGGAGCTGGGGCAGGGTCTGGAGCACAGGTCTGCTGGGGAGCGGCTGGGGGAACTGGGGGGTTTAGTCTGGAGAAGAGGAGACTGAGGGGAGACCTCATGGGCCTCTACAGCTCCCTGACAGGAGGGTGCAGAGAGGGGGGATGAGTCTCTGGAGCCAAGGAGCCAGCGCCAGGCCCCGAGGGAATGACCTCAAGCTGCCCAGGGCAGGGTCAGGCTGGCTCTGAGGAAGGATTTCTTTGCAGAATGGGCTGTTGGAATGGGCTGCCCAGGGCAGAGGGGGAGTCCCCATCCCTGGAGGGGTTGAAGAGTCGGGTTGACCCAGCGCTGAGGGATCTGGTGGAGTTGAGAATGGTCAGGGTGAGGTTAATGGTTGGTCTGGAGGAGCTTCAAGGGCTTTTCCAACCGAGATGTTTCTGTGATTCTGTGAAATCACTTGGAAGTGATTTGCACCTTGCTTAACACTGTGTAGCTGTGAGCTCCAGCTGTGCACAGAGGGTGTTGGATGCTCTTAAAGGTGCTTCACTGATGTTCCAGTGCAGTCAGATAGAGGGGACTACAACTTTTGAACCTTTCCAGCTCCCTCCAGGACTTCCTAGAGCAAATGATGACTCTCTGGAAGTTGTTGTTGTGACCTGTAGACTCTGTGGGCTTTGCAGACCTGATTATGGCTGTGTCCCTTCTCCAGGACTATCCTCATTGCCTGCCATGTGAAGCAGATGAGTAAAGACATCCGGCCTCTCTACTCTGCTGCTGATGTGGCCAAGATCAAGAGATACAGCAAGAGTCACTCCAAGGTATTTAAGTCTTACATCCAGAAGACAGGCTTGTGTCAAAGCATGAGGTTTCAGCTAGAGCAGCCTTGGCATGTGGCTAAGGAGGTGTCTTCTTGCATTGCAAGTAACTCTTCAACCTCTTTAGCACTGTTGCTAGATTTTCCCCTCATTTTCTTTGTGTTTTGTGCTTAGGTTTTGACGAGGTCCTGGTTTTGCTTGGGGTTTTTTGTGGCTGCTTCTGTACTGCTAGCAGAGTATCCTTCCTGCCTGCTGGCAGCTTAGCTGTGCATGGCTGTTGAGACAGAGATTTGTCTGTGTTGTGTGTGTCCTGACCCTGCCAGCTGGTTGCTAGAGGATTTCCTCTGCAGGAGAAACACCTCTCTCTTCTCCAAACCCAAAACCAGGTCTGCCCCAACCTGGTCTTATGCTCAGAACATGTGCTTCACAGTGTGGAGAGGAGAAAGCCTTGTTTTCACATGGCTTGCTGCTTCCAGTGACTGGGTGACTGACAGGATGTTCTAGTACTTCAGAGCCACATTGAAAGAAAACTCTGGCAAATGGTCTTTTCCTTTCTAAATAACCTTCATCCGTGGGATTCTGTGATTGGAATAAGCTCCTTTTTAGTGTTGAAATGGATCTGTGGAGCTTTGCTCCTTGCTTTTATTTGCTACAGTCCATCTGATAGGCCGTGCTTTGACTCTTCTCTCTTAGGATATCTTTGACCAGCTGGCGAGATCCCTGGCTCCCAGCATCCATGGACATGAGTACATCAAGAAGGCCATTCTCTGCATGCTGCTTGGAGGGGTGGAGAAGGTCCTGGAGAATGGGAGCCGCATCCGAGGAGACATCAACATCTTGCTGATAGGTCTGGAAAAGCTAGGCAGAGGCGCCCTCAGTTGGTGTTGTTGGGGGGTGAGATAAAGGAGCATTTTTCTGGGCTTAGTTTATAGAGTAATTGAGGTTGGATGGGACCTCTGGAGGCCTCTGGTCCAAGCATGTGCTCAGGGCAGAGCCAATGTCACTAATAGACCAGGTTGCTTTGGGACTTGTCCTGTTGCTTTTGAACATCTCCAGGGATGGAATCCCATGACCTCCTGTGGCCACTATCCCAGTGTTTGACCACCCTTAAGGAGATTTCTTTTCTACCATCCAGTTGAGATTTCCTGTACTCCCAAGTTGTCCCCATTGCCTCTGTTCCCATCACTGTGCACCTCTCAGCTCTAGCTCCATCTCTATTTCCTCCCATCACGTCACTGAGGAGGGTGAGAAGATCATCTGATCCCAATATTTTCTGTCCCCTTCCTCACACCCCTGCACCGAGGAGCCCCAAACTGGACACGGTATCCAGGCGATGTGTGGTAATTGAACATGCTCTTCTCCATTTCAGGAGACCCTTCTGTGGCCAAGTCTCAGCTGCTGCGGTACGTGCTCAGCACTGCGCCCCGCGCCATCCCCACCACCGGCAGAGGCTCCTCCGGCGTTGGCTTGACTGCTGCTGTCACCACGGACCAAGAAACCGGTGAGAAGCAGGCTGATGCCTGGTGGGAGCTATCCGAGGGATGCTTCTTAATACCTGAGAGAGACTCAGCAAGATCCAGGGCTGCTGTTTGTTCTGCAGTGATGCTCGCAGGACTTGTTCCATCCAGAAGCTTTATGGCAATAATAAGGGTGTTTAGGGGTATTTTCTTCACCTCTGTTAAGTGGTGGTCTTCTCTACTCCTCCTCTGCTTGGTGAGGGCTAGCAGCAGCCTGGATCTTGTTGTCTTCCTCATGGGATTGCTCCTCATCCTAAATGTCCTCCTTCCGTCCAGTTGGGTAGGAGATGGGCAACCCTGAAAGATGTTGGTGTTCTTTGAGGCTTAGCCTGGACACAGGGGTTGGTGCTGTGGTGGAGAGGCAAGACAGGAGATGTAGGGGGCTATTGAATGGTGGTCAACCCTCTTTATTTTTTTTTCTCCCACCCCATCGCAGGCGAACGGCGCCTGGAAGCAGGGGCCATGGTGTTGGCTGACCGGGGGGTGGTGTGCATTGATGAGTTTGATAAGATGTCTGACATCGACCGCACAGCCATCCACGAGGTGATGGAGCAGGGCCGCGTCACCATCGCCAAGGCTGGCATCCATGCCCGCCTCAACTCCCGCTGCAGCGTCCTGGCAGCAGCCAACCCCGTCTACGGCCGGGTGAGTGCTGGTGTTCACTGGGCCCCTTCATGGGGAAGGGTGCTGGGAGCTGTCTTGGTGGAGGAGGCAGCTGGTGAAACCCAAAAGATCCCCGAAATCAGTGACTTGGTTCTTGCTGGGGCTGGAATCCATGGGGCAGTGAAGACCTGGTTAGTTTGGTTTCTGTTTCTGCTTGTATCCCTCCTGGAGGAGAGCAGGGCTCGGGTTTCTCACCCTGTTTTGGTTCTGCCTGGGTGGCTCAGGGCAGCCCAGTGCATCCTTGTCCTGGTCAACAACCTCAGTCTTGGTATCTAATCTGGGATCACAAAAAATACATGTTTTCCTTACAAATGAGAGCTACACCCATCTTCCAGGGAAAAGAAACCTTACTGCTGCAGTAGGCTGGGTTTAGTGTGGTGTCCAGCTGCCTGGGTATCCATCCTTTAAGGCCTGGCCTGAGGAGGCCCTCCCAGCCTTCCTGGCAGCCAAGACTGGCCCATGAGCGTTTCCTATAACCCCTCATATCGTCCTCTTGCAGTATGACCAGTACAAGACACCCATGGAGAACATTGGCCTGCAGGACTCCTTGCTCTCCCGTTTTGACCTGCTCTTCATCGTGCTGGACCAGATGGACCCCGAGCAGGACAGGGAGATCTCGGACCACGTCCTGCGGATGCACCGCTACCGCAACCCCAACGAGCAGGACGGGGATGGTGAGTTGCTTTAAGCTGCAGCCTCCTGCTGCTCAGTTCTGTCTTCCCTTGTCACCCCTTAATGGCAGCTCTTTGGGTTCAGCATCCCTGGCTTTGTTGAGGACTGCTTTTGGAGGTTGCTCCAAAGGCTAAAAGCCTGTTCTCTGTGACCCTCTCCAGCCATGCCCCTGGGCAGTGCCGTGGAGATCCTAGCTACGGAGGACCCCGATTTCGTGCAGGAGGAGGAACAGGAGCTCCAAGTGTATGAGAAACATGATGACCTCCTGCACGGGCCCAACCGCCGCAAGTGAGTCCTTCATCCCATGTCCCCTGGAGCTTTCTGGGGGTTTCCAGCACTATGAGTTGATGGGTTTGGCTTGAGTATCCAGGCAGTGGCTTATGGCAGGTGCCAGTGATGCTCTAGATGGTCCACGGGGAGGTATGTGGGCAGGATGCCAAGGGAGCCCTGCTCTGGGCTTGATTTCTCATACCAGGCAAGTGACGGAACATCTCCAGGAGCTGAATTCCACACATGCCTGGATGCCCACAAAAAGTGGGAAGCCCACTTCTGCAAACACCCTTTGCCTGTCCCCACCTTGGAGGACCCAGGTGTGCATGGATTCCCCGCAGGGAGAAGATCGTCAGCATGGAGTTCATGAGGAAATACATCCATGTGGCAAAGATGATTAAGCCCGTCTTGACCCAGGAGTCTGCGAGCTACATCGCGGAGGAGTACTCCCGCCTGCGCAGCCAGAGCCAGATGAACTCGGACATCGCCAGGGTGAGCCCCGGGAGCAGCTCCCTCTTGGGCCAGGAGGAGGGAAACTGAGGCACAGGCTCCCCTCTCCCCTTATGGGTGTTTTTCACCCTGCACATGACACCTCTCGGGGAGGTGGGATGCTGTGGTGGGGGTCAGCCTCACAGAGACGCCTCTCTCTGTCCCCCCAGACCTCCCCTGTCACAGCCCGTACCCTGGAGACCCTGATCCGCCTCTCTACAGCCCACGCCAAGGCCAGGATGAACAAGACTGTTGATCTGCAGGACGCGGAGGCGGCTGTGGAGTTGGTGCAGTTCGCCTACTTCAAAAAGGTGGGGAGAAGGTGTCTCTTGGTTCCTGGTGAGTCCTAAAATTGTCGTGGGAAGGGTTGGGTTTGGTGCAGGCTGAGCACCCTGGGCTACTGGTGGGGTTCTTTCCTGGTGATAAGTGTGGGATGAAGCCATCACGGTGGGACCTTGGGTCTCTTGAGACTGGTCCCCTAAAAGCAGCTTGAGTGGAGAAGCGGGCAGAGTCCACCCTGTCTTCGCCCCGCAGGTGCTGGAGAAGGAGAAGAAGCGCAGAAAGCAGGCGGAGGATGACTCGGAGACTGAGAAGGAGGAGGAGGAGGAGTCGCAGCCCAAGGAGGAGGGCAGGACAAGGAGGTAGGAGCTGGAGCAAGGAGCAGGGTGAGATGTCATGCAAGGGGCACCAGCCTCTTCTGAGCTCACAGTGGGCAGTGCTGGCCTTGGGGAAATAAATTATGAGGGGGGTGAGGCCCTGGCACAGGTTGCCCAGAGAAGCTGTGGCTGCCCCCTCCCTGGAAGGGTTCAAGGCCAGGTTGGACAGGGCTTTGGGCAACCTGGGCTAGCAAAAAATAACACTGTCCATGGCAGGGGGGTTGGACTAGATGACCCAACCTAAACCCTTCTGTGATCCTCTGACTGTTCATCACCCTTGGGGCTGGTGCTGGCTTGGGTCCTGGGCCAGGGGCAGGGCTGTGGCTCTACCCACAGGTACCCTGCGTGGTCTTGGCCAGATGCCTCCAGCAGCTCAGGGTTTGGGGGGTGGTCCTGAGGTCTGTGGTTTGGCTGGAGCAGGGGTGACCCCTTCTTCCTCCACCCAGGAGAAAGAAGGCACGCACAGGAGGTGAGGGGGACTCTTACGACCCGTATGACTTCAGTGACGCTGAGGAGGAGATGCCGGAGGGTGAGTCCCTGGGGTTTTGGTGGCATTTGGCTCCCAAGGGTGCTACTGCCTTCTGCCCTGATAGTTCTGCACACACTGGGGGGCAGCGATACCTTGGGGGGGGGTCACTCAAGGTCCCTGGCATGGTGTGGCACCATTCAGCGCCGCAGGATGAATTTTTTTTTTGAAACCTTCATGGCTCTGAGGGACAGGAGGGTTAGTACTTCTGTTTTTTGGGTTTTTTTGTATACTTTTTTCCATCCACTTATAGAATCATAGAATCTATAGAATCATTCAGGTTGGAAAGATTCTTGGGATCGAGTCCAACCATCAGCCTTGGCTCTACAAAGTTCTCCCCTACCCCACAACCCCCCACAGCTCATCCAAACGGTCCTTAAACCCCCCCAGGGACAGGGACTCCCCCCTCCCAGGGCAGCCTGTTCCACTCTGACCACTCTTGCTGGGAAACATTTTCTCCTGCCCAGCCTGACCCTCCCCTGTGGCAGTTTCTAGCTGTTCCCTCTTGTCCTGTCCCTGATCCCCTGGGAGCAGAGCCCAGCCCCGGCCTCTCTGCAATGTCCTGTCAGGAGCTGCAGAGAGGGATGAGGGCTCCCCTCAGCCTCCTCCTCTTCACACTGCACACTCCCAGCTCCTTCCCTGGCTCCTCACAGCATTGATTCTCCAGCCCTTCCCCAGCCTCGCTGCCCTCCTCTGCCCTCGCTCCAGCCCCTCGAGATCCCTCTGGGATTGAGGTGCCCAGACCTGGACACAACCCTCCAGGTGTGGCCTCACCAGTGCCGAGCACAGGGGACTGTCACCTCCCTGCTCCTGCTGCTCACACTAGTTCCAATCCAAGCCAGGAGGCCGTTGGCTTTCTTGGCCACCCGGGCACACTGCTGCCTCCTGTTCAGCTGCTTGTCCAGTGAGAACCCCCAGACCCTTCCAGACAGCTCCAGCCACCCCTCCCTGAGCCTGTAGCCATGCCAGGGGTTGTTGTGGCCCAAGTGCAGGACCTGGCTCTTGGTCTTGTTGACGCTCACATCCAAACTGCTGCTGAAGTAACAACATTGGGAGTGAGTTTTGGCATCGCCCACCGCATCCTAAGGCCAAGTGCTTTTACTCTCTGGGTGCTTGGACACCAGGCAGGGTGAAGGTAACTCTTCCTTCTGCTCCAGTCCAGGCACACGCTCCGAAGACAGGCGAAGCGTCGGCCACTGGCGAAGCAAAGAAGCTGGAGCTGCCTGAGCCGAGGTGAGTGGGAGCTGGAGGAGGCATCTGTCCCTGCGTGTCCCACCTCACCCTGGTGTGTCCAAGCTGTTGTCTGATGCTGGAGATGCATCTGTGGCAGGTGATCCCAGCTCTGGTTTCTGCTTTCCTGCTGGATGCTGCTTCTCTAATGGGGAAGGGCTGAGGGATCATGGGCTGCAAAGGATGTGTGTGTGGTCAGTCTCCAGAGCTGATTTCTTCTTGCCTTCCCTGTCCAGGCTGAAAGCGTTCAAGGCCGCTCTCCTGGAGGTCTTCAAAGCTTCCCATGCCCAGTCTGTGGGTCTGAAGAAGGTGATGGAGTCCATCAACCGTGACAACCCTGAGCCCTTCTCAGTGGCTGAAGTGAAGGTGGCGCTGGCCCACATGCAAGATGACAACCAGATCATGGTGTCCGATGACATTATCTTCTTAATCTGAGCCTCTGGGCAGAATAACCCAAGTTCTTGTGGACTCTCAGCTTGGAGACTCTGTTTGCATTCAACTCTTTCCTGAACGCTTCACGTGGCTGAGCTGAACTTGTGGGAGCTCAAGTCTGTGCACTTTACAGTCCTTCCTTGCTGTGCATTGCTGGCACCAAAAAAGCCAGGAGCTCTCAAAGCTCTCATACTATTGCTGCCTTCAAACTGGAGTAGAGGAAGGTGTTACTGCGAGGAGGTGAAAGAAAATTTTAGGTGCAAACTATCAATGTTCTTAATGTATTGTTTTTAGCTTTAGAGGTGATAGTTCCAGCCTTTGAATAAAATCTGGATTTAAGAGTCCAGCATTCAATAGCAGTGGTGGTTAAGTAGTGGTATGGTGGGTCTACTGTTAATTGAAGCTTTTATTTTTCCCCTTTTTCCTTTTTCCCTCAATTGTATAGCTTGGGTTTGCTTGTCTCACAAGTAAAGAGGCCTAATGCCTGTCCTGTTGACTCTGACGTCCCCACCACAGGTAGGTTTGGTCTTCAGCAGCTGCCTTCAGCCTGGGATTGTGTTTACGTGAATATAATGGGACCACCACAAGTGGGAGGAAACTTGTAGCAAAGAAAGGTCAAAGCTACAAGGACCTGCTGCAAATCTTCCTGCATCCTGTGGAAAGTAACCACGAGCTACAGTCTCCATAAATGCCTTCCCTTGATTTTTGGGGGATTTGTTGAACTGTCTTGCTCTCTGGGAACACATAAGTAACTCCTTGGAGAAAGGCTGATCCTAGAAACCAGCAAGTTGCAGTCAGACTGGTCTTGGCTGCCTGTGATACCAGAGCTGCTGAAGGTTTTTCGATTCTTTTTAACTTTTTTTTTTTTTTTTTTGTGTATGTGTGTGTGTGTGCTGTTGAGTTTGAGGTTAAGTTTAGGAGAACACCCTGAAGAGCACAGGCTCTTTGCTGTTGTCCTTCCCCATCTCTGGGCAGCTACACAGTTCATGTGTCCTTGTTTCTGGATGCAATAAATATTTTGAGTAATAAAAATATCTAGGTACTGTTTTCCCCAGGCCTTGCTGCTTGGATTTAAACCATTCCCCCTTCTGGGGGTGCAACCCTGCACTGCTACAGGAAGCCTTCGGGCAGCTGCCTGCCCCTTTGGGCTCAGGGACCGTGTTGGGCATCTCCTTCCCCACCACGGTGCCTTTGCCTTGGCGGACCAGGCACTTGCAGACATCCCCTGGGGGTGGGTGGGTCATCAATGTGGGCAGCTCCTGCCTCTCCTGATGCAGTTACGTGGTCTCTGCCCACCTGGAGCTACACACCCCAGTGATGTAAGAGGATTTTGTAGTATCTCATTGCACAGGGAGAGGGGAAACCCCAATTTTTTTTCTGCAAGGCAGACCAGTTGAATTATAAAAGCCTGATTACTGAGCTCCCCTCATCCAATACAGCTGTGACAGCAGATTTTCAGGTTTGGAGGGGATTTTTGCACGTTTGCAACCTCCTAAAGGTCTCTGGCTGGATGTATAGTACTTCTGCAGAGTGACTTCAGACCTGTGGCCAGCCTCTGGCTTGTAAAACTAAAGTTTGGTGAAGGTGAGTTAAACACACAGATGGTCAGAGATGTTCTGTCTCTGATTTTATTACACATCTTCGGTCCTGAGCTTTGTGGGATGGGGAGGGAAGCTGAGCCAGCACACTCTGCTCCTGCATGGCCACCACCGTGGTGGCTCCACGCCGCAAAGCCCCTGGGTGGGAGTGATGGGCCAAACCCACCCAGGTGCCTTTTCCAGGGTGGAGGTGGTGTTTTCTTACCAATTCATTCATGGGCAAAGCAACCAATTTTTTTTTTTTCTGGAAAGGTGCCCGGGTGTTTATAAAAAGTTCCCCAATAAGTTCTACTGCTCTGATGTTGCCTTGTAGGACTGCGGCTACTGGCATCACCTTCCCCTCTCCCCACTTTGACTTTTGGAGGCTGTTCCTCTTCCCAGATGACAGCAGGGGAGCAGTGAAGGCACTTGGCAAGAGTGACTTTTTGGAGCCGTCTCTTTTTCTCTTTGCTGAGGCTTTGAGTTTTCCCTGTCGTTACAGCAGGGGAACTGCTAATATTGTCTTTCCCATGACAGGACACCAGGAGGAGCTCCAGGGTAGGTCAAGCTCTAGTTTATTTTACTATCCTATAGCCTAGGATGGTAGGATGTAGCTTATCTACCTCCCTGGTGTGCTGGTGGCCACCTCGGTATATCCTTTGCAATTGCTCAGGCCCTTGGGAGAGGGGTCTCTGCTGGCAAGGGAAAGGCAAATCCCTGATCCTTGGAGAGGAGCTGGCTTGGTGGGGCTGTAGATGGTCCACAGCTTGTGGGACGGTTGGTTTTGGAACTGTGGTGAACAGAGCAGCTGGCTGTCAGCCCCCAGGTCCTCCAGCATCCCTGGTCCTCAGTGCAAGTGCAAATCCCTGTTGTACGAGGGGCAGGGACAGAACTACACAAAAAGCTTGTAACTCGGTAGCTTAGGAAATGGGGGGCAGCAGATAGATGGTTGTGAGGATGTACCACCAATGCAGAAGCATCACAAGGGTTGTGAATGCTTAGGAAGGCGGCTTCTTCATTTAGCTGCTCTCCGGCCCACCTGGGCTGTGTTCAGACCAAGAAAAGGTGCCCCTGAGTGCTCCCCCTAGGGCTCTGCTTTGGATAAACACGTGTGGCTTCCTTGTCCCTGCCAAAGGCAGGCAGGCATGAGGTGCCATGTGAGGGTCAGTGAATCGTGGTGGGAGTAAGTAGAAAGATAAATGTTTGCTAATATTTGTATAATAATACTTGCTATTATATTTAATTTCCAGGCTTCATTACTGATGATGGAAAAAAACCCCAAACCTGTTTGAAACTTTCAGAATAGATAAAAATGAAGGTTATGATACTTTTTTTTTTTTTTTTTAAAAAAAAAAAAAAAAAAAAAAAAGGAAGGAGACTGTAGGATAAAAATTGCAATTCTCAAACCTGTCTTGAGTAATATTAGGGGTTCAATAGGGAAGATCCCATGGAAAGACGCCTGGAAAAAGGTTTTCTGTATCTTGAAAAAAATAATCTTATATGCAAGCTGGGTGAAACAAATTTTGGATTCCTTTAGGTTATAATTCATCTAATATAGAAGGGACTAAGTCTAAAAAACGTCTGCAGGCATTAAGATTAATTTGGGTTAAAATAAATAAGGTTTAATTGTGTTCATCTTTAAATGTGCCTGTTGCTTTGCACTATGTCTAAAACAAGCTTAAAATGCTAAGCTCTAAGGTGTCTTGATTTTGAATGACTGAGAACAGTTGAACTAAAGCAGTATATTGGATTCCTTCTGGGAAATCTTGAAGGATGGGCGCAGAAAACTGGAAAGAGGGGGGGAAAAAAAAAAAAAAAGTGAGAGAGAAAAAAGGAGAAACTAGGGAAAGCCATAGTTCCCAGAAAGCTGTGGGGACACATGATGAAGAGAAAGTTGCGTCACCCCAAAGCAACAACAAAACTGCAAGGCACAACATGTCAAGGCAAACTAACGCTGCTCCTTGACAGGTTTTGTGACTGGGAGATGAACCGTAGGTGTGTTTTTATCTTGATGTTATTAGGCCTTTTGATACAGTTGCCCCATAGTCTCTCATAAGCAATGCTAAAAAAGTGGTCTATAAATGAAATGATGAGGTGGTGGGCAAATCCTTGCTTGGAAAAGCCCTACTCAGAGTGTAGTTGTGATGTGGGGAGGGTGAAGAGAGCGGGTGTTTGTCCTTAGTACTGGCCACCCCTTTGGTTAGCAGGTTGGGTAGGGGAGCAGAGTATCTTCCTACTAATATTGGCAGGCTGATGGCCAGTTGGGAGAGGCCTTGAACGTTCAAAAAAGTTAGAATGGTGCGAATAATGTGAAATATATAATATATATATATAATATATATATAATATATATTTTATATATATAAAATATAGAATTCCCAGTTCAATCAAGATGTGTATAAGCCTTTGAACTGAGGTAGGGGAAATCACCTGCCTTAGTCAGAGACTAGAGGCTGATGGGGAGATAACAGTCCTTTGGGAAGAGACGTTTCATTAGTCAAGCAGATCACAAGCTGAACATGAGCCAGTAAGTGCCATGTTGGTGTCAAGACCCTGTTTTATTGGGCTGTATAAAATGTTATAGAGTTTCAAAGAAGAAATGAGCTTTTTTTCTTTGGCCACAGAAGAGAATAATGAGCTTAAATGTAACATGCAGATCTTCAGGAATAGGTTAGACAGTCCCCGATCAGGAACGATTCCAGCAGAGGTGCTGCTATGCTGAGGCTGAACAGGAGGCCACAGATGCACTAAGCTCCTTTCCAAGATCCCTTTCTCCCTGTTTTGCTATAACACACGGGGGGGTATAGTGCACAAGGTACAGAAGTATGTGACGTTTCTGCAGCTCTCTAGTCTGTCTATGTGATGCCATTCCAAAACACCATATGCTAAGAAGGGTTTGGACCCAGGCTCTTCAGAGGATCGGAAAGTAAAGGAGGCCAGCTACCTCCATGTCTTTGTGGCCTGACGTATGGAAGACCTACCAGGCAGAAGTTTATAGCATGCATATGCAACCTCCATTGCCTAAGGAAGAGCCTGTATGTGAGGGAGAGGTAGCTGGGCTTTCCCCAGAATGGCGCCGAGAATGTGCTGACTAAAATTTATCTTGGTGGGGAAAGAATCAGATAGCAAAGCTGGTCGTGTCAGTGTGACTAAGACCAGCGGCTGAGTTTTCAGATGAACCCTACGAAATAGGTGAGAGCATAAACTTCAGATCCCACTGAAATGGTGAGCGTGCAACCTCTCTTGAGGGACATTGTGCTCCTTTAGAGATTAAAGATCACACGTAATTAAAAAATATATATATATATTTAGGGAATCCAACTTGAGCAAGAAAGCGTTTGATCTCGTACATTCCCTGTTGCCTTCTCTCATGTTATGTCCTTAATAATTTACCTGGTCTCATCCCTGCTGCATGGGAGTGAGAACACGAGCCCCAGTTCTGGCCCTGACCCTTGTTTCGGGTTGAGAGGCTCGATACAGAGTCTGTCCACCGGTGCCCTTGTGTATCACCCGTGACCCAGCTCCTCTGTCCTTCCAGGGCTGGGTCACGCATCAGCAGTGTGACCGCAGTGTCGAGTTCTGCACCCAGGCCTTTTTCTGGTGCCTTATTCAATGCATTACACCTTAGTATTATATTTCTTAAACCCTTAGTCCCGTCACTCTTGTCAGGGCTATTGATGGTAGAAATTAAACGCCCTATTTATCTGCCTGTTGCGGGACAGGTGAGCACCTAGGGGTAAAATCGTCACGTCAGCGCCATCAGCGTCAACTAATCCTTGCCTCCCACTCAACCCACAGCTCTGGCCAAGGTGTGAAAGCCGAGCCAGGGGTGGCAGACAAAACTGAGGTTTGCCCATTACCCGTAGAGGGAGACCGGAGGTGTCTCTGGTCCCTCCGAGGGCCATGAGCAGTGACACAGC